AGTGAGCCATCCAATGTAAGAATGTCTATTTTTCTCGGAAAATAAGAATATTGTGAAATTTGGTTTTTCTTAAAAGTGTTGGTACATATTTTACTACCAACTCTCGAAATGTTTCTACTTTCATCTCTTGTATGCAAGTGTACTATAAAATCATAAATATCTAACCAAACATTTTTAAAGGCTACTGTTTTTTTAGATAACTGAAAAATACGATGAAATGTATTATCTTTATAAAGTCATATAATTATCATAAAAATTAAAAATTCAAACTCTAAATTGTTTTAACTTTTAGTGTCTACATATTATTTATGGAATTAAAAATAGATTTCTCGTTGGAAAAAAAAGCGAAGTCCGTGTTTGTTTTAAGTATAGATGACGAAGATAAAAGTATAATTTTTAAATCATATTTTTAAAATGTTCATATATTTCTAGAAAACGAGTGTCTTATATCAGATGAATCACCCTGTATGTTGTAAATCTTTTCAATTTATTGTTCTACCACCTTTCGATACAGTATATTAAAACGTACCTATTTAGTACGTTTTAATACACATTTGTATTATATTCTATAGCAAGATTGGGGTGCAGCAAATCGAAAAGACGGTAAATAGTGTTCGGATACTCCTTTTAATTTCTCGGTAAAAAACTAATATGGAAAAAAAAATATGAAGTCGTCACGTCTTAAAAGTCAATACCGTGTGTTATTGTTCGTATATGTTAACAAATAATAAATGAACACGCACGCATTATACACAGATATTGAAAATAATAGCTTGAAACTCCTAAACGGCATTTTATAGTACTACGCGTTAAGGTAAAATTTTCAAATGAATTGGGAACTAATCCTATACAAAAAAATAATATTCGAAATATTTATTTTTCCCGAGCAAATGAGTGTCTTGTAACAAATAGATCATGCCCTGTATCATTATTGCTAATGATTAATTAGGAAAAAAAATTATACATTTTTAATTAGCTTTAAAAATGGTAAATCGAGTGACTCTTTTTAAGACAATTTGTATTGAAATTACAAGTTTTTCAATTTGGTATAATGATCTATATTAAAAATAAAAGCTTTACGTAGAGCTGATAGCTGAAATTCAAACTAAACACAATAAATTAGATTATTAGATTATTTCGTAAATATTCCACTTTTAGTAAAATAAGCACCCGTTACACTAGTCACCTGAATTATTTTAATTATTGTAATATTATTGTGTGTGGTGTGGTTGGAGCCTTGTGTAGTTAACTTTGTATCTATAGTTTATAACGGGGCTTCACAAATAGATACCAATAGTTTTTTCGTAAAAAGCAACTTAATAAATCATTGTAACGACAAGAGCCACAGTGATTTTGACTTTTATGAATTTTTATAGGTACTCGGATATTCAAATCATATAATGAGGTATGGCTTTCAACAAGAGTGTCAGTACTTGCGTTCAAGCTACCAACCGTTTTATTATAGTTATAAAGCTAGACAATATATATTGTCCTGAGGCATTATACTATTTATAAGCAGAGGCTTGATCGTTGGATGGAAAAACACCTGAGGCAGAAACAATCCGGGAGGTGACTAGAGCTCTGCCACATTTATGCGTACTTACTAAAAAGTACCTTAGTGTTTAGGTAAAAGGTATTAAGTAATTTTATTTACAGTGTGTGTGTGTTTAACGGTTCGTGTACCAAAGTGCGTATACGACAGTATTAAAAAAGTTACAGCGTATACAGATAAAAAAAAAGCCCACATCAGAGTAAATCCAATACTTTCGCCGCTCCGCATCGAAGCTAATAAAAGTTTTCTAAATAATACACTGCCAAGCGTGTATGTGTGCTGTAAGCCAACATGGGGTTATTGACAAAACATAAATTTTGTAAATTAAATTTGACGCCTGAGGTTTGAATCCGAAAAATCAAAAAACCATTGCAGTTTAGTAACAATTTAGTATCGAAACTAGATGCGGATTGAAATGACGCTCTCGAAATTATCACCAACGACGATCAACTTGAGCCTAGTGGCCTTGTTGAGCCTCATGGCCTCTATGAACACACCGGTACTGTCGCTGGATACCGGTTACAGATATGGCACGAATGAAAATCCGTCGACGGCAGCCCAGTACAAAGATTTAAAATGCACGTATCTTTTTCTAGGACTCACACACATGCGGTTAGTGCAACTCATGCTGGCAGACCAAAACGTTCCTACCAAAACCCCGGTCGGCCTCATGAGCCTTTACGACATCCGGGCGGTGATATGCACCCTGTACGACGTGGCCGACGTGGAAATCGGCTCGTTATGGCTGCTACTATTGTACGCGAACACGGTGAAGTCTTACTACGACAAGCATATCTTCAAAGAAGCAAACGAAGATGAACGCACGGCGGCCGTTTACAGACTGATGGTCAATCACGACTATGTGGCGGGCAGAATGCAAGCGGAAATGACGGCTGCCAATTGTCGACCCAACGACCAGTTTGACTCGTATGAAACAAGGGGCGCGCGGCAGGATATCCGGACGGAGATCAAATTCAACTGCCAACAGCTGAACGTACTGTTGGAAGCGAACACCACAGAATCCGCGTACGGGGCGCGGTACGAATCGTTGAAATACAGACAGCTGTTCGTCAACAAGCTGGGCCTCAACCCGCTGATCATGAACCAGCTGATGTACTCGTATGACTTGCAAGTGCGTTGGGACGGCACGTCTCGTGTGCTTGAAACAGCTCATACAAACGCCGTCAAAATGTACTCCCCCACTGCTATATTACTCCCTTTCTTTAGCATCAAAAGATATTACAAAGCGGTCTTCAGTCTATTCGTATGTATCGTGTACCGGTTGACGTGGAGATTTTTGTCGTTGGTTAATACGTTTACAGGTGAACGTCGAGAAAATCACTTAAAAATATGGCAGGACTTGCTGGTGGATAAAATCCTGAAACCGTTATGCCTCCAAGACGATCTGGACGTCAAGTTTATGTTGGTCACCATCGAAAAATTCGGCCGCAACGTCGTGGATATAGAATACGTTGAAGAACAGTTCCGAATTAAGCTGATCAGAATTGACGTTATACTCGAATGCAAGGCCACCAACCCGATGGTTCTAGACGCGAACGAGCTCTCTTCAAGCGCGGATCAGAGCACGTTTGGCCAGGCAGTCATCGAATTGAATAGCGTTAAATACGCAATGGCTTTCATCGATGATTTGGAGAAATCATTCTATTTGGTCGATTTCAAAGTTATCCGATCGATCATGAAGTACCTAGACGTGGAAGCTTCATTAAGTGTGTAGCAGGTAATATTATAATAATGTATTCTATTGCCAGTCAATATTATATTATCAAGACCTGACCACGATAGCAACGAAAACTTAATAATATTAACAACCAATGTAAAAACCTATTCGAATTAGTTGTTAACCATTGGCAACATATAAAATGTGTGTATTATTTATCATATAACATTAAATTTTACATTATACTAAAAAAAATACATAAACAACATTATTATATAAATACTTGACGTTACTGTAAACGGTTCTTTTAAACCAAAATTAAATAAATAAAACGTTCAATATCTACAGGTTACTGTTGTTTTATTATCCGCAATGAGTTATGGTAATGTTCCATCAAAAAGTGTAACGATTAACAGTTTCCACAACAAGGATTAATTGAGTGAGTGTAAGAGACACTCAATACCATCTAAAATAATTGCAATTTTATAGTTATGAATGCGTTAAAGCTTTGTGGATTGATATATCATTCGGATGATTTTCGGATATATCCACGTCAATAGTTATAGGCCGACGTTTCAGACTCATTGCAGAGTCCATCTTCAGAGCGATAACGGTCTCGACTGTTCAGCTGCCGTGACAATACTGACTGCCCCGCTCATTCCTTACCGCTATTTATACGTGCCGTGTCCTTGATGTAATGTTTCTCGACCAATGGGGATCGAGCGTATTGTCGTATCACATTGCTCGATCCCCATTGGTCGAGAAACATGGCATCAAGGACACGGCACGTATAAATTGCGGTAAGGAATGAGCGGGGCAGTCAGTGTGGTCACAGCAGCTGAACAGTCGAGACCGTTATCGCTCTGAAGATGGACTCTGCAATGAGTCTGAAACGTCGGCCTATAACTATTGACATGGATATATCCGAAAATCATCCGAATGAACTTTATAGTTATTAATTTTTTAAAATACAGTTTCGTTTATGTTATTTTACAATATCATAAAATTACTCTACATTTACTGTTTATTATCCCGAGCTCTATCAAACTTCTAAACTTATAGTTTATGTTAAAAATTAATTTACCAATTTTGGGATAAATTGTTTTGAACTTTCTCTTAAATTTTAAACTTTAATTTACCATTTAAGTTAGATTTGTGCGAACTCACAAAAACTATAGCTTGCATGGCTTAGAATTTAAGGAGGTATGTAACCGTTCTTTTATGTATTATGCTAAGTACACGTTTGAATAAAATGGTAACCAAATAAATTTTTTTCCAAACACTGCCTGAACAAAATGTATGTAAAATCAGTTTACATAAGTATGATTTTCGGAGTTATTATTATAATTTGCTGCTGATTTTGTAAAGCCAGTTAAGTGTCTTTATAATATTCGTTTTATTAAAAAATTATTATTTCAAAGGAAAATAATCATAAAACAATTTTGGCCTCAGAATAATAATTGCATTTAGACGATTAATTCGGTAATATCCAAACTTTAATTTAGGGACCTCCTAGAATTATAGAGAATAATATTGTCCTATGTGAATACATTAAGGGGCGAAGGTCGTGTAAACATATATTTTTTTCAGAATTGTTTTTGAAGAAATGGTAAGATTTATTAAAATGAAATAAGTTACATCATGAAATTGTCAATGCAAAGTATTTTATAAAAAAATTGAACATCGTAAAAATGGCGGTGTTGCAGCTTATTGAAACAGGCTTTTCGATTTTCACCGTAAAGCCTACTGCAACATTTTTTTTATGTACGTTCATACGCTTTGCATGAACCTAAAATTAAAAAAAAAATTATTTTAAAAATGTTATGTCATTTTTAAAGAAAAATATCTATTTTTTGCTTACAAAATTTAAAACAAACAATATGTATTATTATTGAGTAATAATAATTAATGCACTTTTAGTCGGCGCCAAGGCCAATAAGTTAGAGAAAAAAATTCGTCCAACCACATGTCAATTGAATTAAAATTGTTTGAGCTACATTGCACAGAGTACAATATATTTTGAGAAAACGCGTTAAGCGTAACCTAACCTTACGCGTATAATTATATAATGTGGAAAAAAATACCTATATATAGTTGGATTCTATAGAACCAGGGGATTTTAACTAAAACTAAAAATTCTAGTTGTATATTATTATAATTTCTATGCGTCCAACTCTAATTGCATGTAGTTTCATGTCCTTAGGGGAGAAATGACAAATAAAATCATTCTAAACACTACAACGATAGTGAAACACAAAGGTACCAAATAAGTATCCGCTATAACTTATGTAAATATACAGTACCATCAAACGTGCAAGAAAATAGTTTAAACACATAAAAACACGAACAACCAAATGGAATACGTGTAAAAAGAAAACATACCTACTTGTTTGTAAAGACTGTGCGCTGAAAAACACACAAAAAAAAATTAAACACCACACCCATATCGGTTTGTAAATATGTTACTAACTAAAAAGAAATGTTCGATTTTCGAACTTGAAGTTCGAAAATACTATGGATTAAGTCATCCATCTTATCGTTTCTAATATCCATATACTTTACACTGGAACCGGCACTGTTTGAATCACCAGTTATTGCAAAAATAATCTGTATACACATACATACAAATGTCAGGTGATACAAGCACATAACTAGTACAATTATTGTGTACCTATACAATGTAAAAATCTATTTTATAAAATGTCTACATACATTTGATGATTCAATTTGAGCACATCTTCCTAGAGTATATAATGGTTTTGAGTTGTAAGAAATTATATTTTCTAACATGCCTCTCATAACTAAAACACCATAACAATAATAATATTTATTTAAAAGAGACATCAATAATATATTTCACCTATAGGCGCTATTGTATGTATAAATAAATGGCACAATTTAGATTGAATGTTGACCCGATTGGAAAATCAACAATATATACTTACCATCAATATTATTTCTCACTAATGGTTCATTATAAATCCTTTGTAGTCCTTCTTTTGAAATTAAAGACAAACGTAAATATTTCATAAGATCCGGTAACAAGTCATTACGTTCATCTGTGTTATAGCGTGTCCAACCAATGATAAAATCAAATATCTAAAATAAACTCAAAAATTATTATTAAATAATTGTGACAGAACCAATATTAAAATAAGTAATTTTTTTATTTCATTTTAAGTTACAATAATTATACCTTTTCCTCAGAATTAATTACTAAACCATCACATGTAATAAACTCGACAACATCATCAAACTCAAAGTGATAAAGTGTTTCTAATGCTTGATCCGAATTCACAATTGTACTAAAACAAATCTTTCTATTATTAGTTGAATATTTAAAAAATTGTTGCGAACATATGCCGCCCTGATAACTCACGTGAAATTGTTTAAAAAATATGACCAACAAAAATTGTAAATCTTTTCGTATGATATTAATTTAGAAGTTTTCATAAAACTAACACAATTTGTAGGATTTATGTTTTCTTTAATATATTTAAAACATAACTCTTTTATATGATTTAGACCATACATATTGGCAGCCATTAACAGTTTCTAAAAAATTGAATAACAAGTAATAAAAAAATCGAGAAATATTTTATAAATTGTATATCCTATTGCATTTCTTCTACCTGAAAATTGTTTTCTTTAATATCCAATTTACAAGTATATGCAAATTTCACCACCAATTCTAAAATTTCAGAATCTATTTCTTTTATAAGAATCTCATTTTTGTTTCTTTCTTTAAACTGACCGCTGAACATCGTATAAAATACATGACTCGCAGAAGCCAATATATTTCTGTGAGCTTCTATTTTTAAGCCTTCATCAGTAACCAAGGTTACATCACAAAATTCTTTTTCCCTAAAAAAAGTATTCGTATTAATTTATAAAATTCAATTAGCATAATTTGTTTTATATTGACAAAAAAAGTACATTTTCAATTATTGTTCCATCTAATATAATAATAGTAAAAGTATTATAATATATATATATATATATACTTAAGATTTGTTATTAGACATTTTTTTTCATTATGTTTTTATAAAATGTGATCGCAATTTTTCAAAAACAATGTTTTGTTGTCTTGAAACTCTGATAACTTGAAAAATAGTTATCCAAAACTGGTTATCAACCAGTCAAAATCCTAATTACATTATTCTTATTTCAAAACGTAAATGAAATTAATGCGATAATGTTTACGTTACAAAAGTAAGTTTCAAAAAAACTAATTTGGTAAAGATACATACAAAAAAATTGTAAAAAATTGAATTTGAACCAATACTCGATAGCTGACAATACAAGTGATATCGGTTTTACTTGGAAACCGATGATTGGACCATAATAATCAATGGCAGGTAATAATGTAATATTGGTTTTATCGGGTATAGGTTTGTGATATCGGTTCATAGTTTTTGCAAACAGTTTTGATATTGAGTGAATCACGATAAAATGATCATTTGCTTATATTAAAGGAAAAAGTGCATACCTATACCCCAGGACTCCGCAATATTATTTAAAAGGGCACAATAAAAATACAAACATTATTCGGTAATAAATAATACTTGTACAATTACACTCATACTTACTCATAGAATTGGTAAATTTTTTCGAAGTGTTCTTGCACAATAACTTCCATAATTGTTTTGCGTGTATTACAGTGTAGATTATAAATGTATCTTTTAGTTACTTTTAAATTAGTTTATCTAAAACATAAATAAGATACAAAACAAAATTTTCAATTAAAAAGACAATGTAAAATAAAAAGCTTACAATCGAATAAAACAAATCCCCGATTTTAAATAAAACTGTACCTGAAATGCTAAACGTGAAAAAAATTAAAAAAATAGATTAAATTCTTATCTCCTATATCGGTAGGAAATTTAGGTAGGTACATAATGTTGTCAGTTGTTGCCTTAGTGTTATCGATACGCCGCTACATTGGCCAAACAGAGATAAGATAATTTTAATGAGGTTGGAAAGCTTATTGAAATCTCTAAAAATAAGTCTTTTTTAAAAAAAGTTGGCACTGGGGTTTTGCGGCCACTACGAACCCCCCCCCCCTATCCATTAAAGCTGCAATGTTTTCAAATATGAGCCGTCCCTTTTATAACTATAAATATACAGAAAAATTTGGAATTTTTTTCCTTAACAATCCAACACATATAGGTTTTCCAATTGAACATTAATAATTGTTATAAATAGTTATTATTGTGTACATCTTGTTTAACAGATTACAGTAAAGTAGCTAGGTATAAAAAATGATTGTAAATTAGTATTTTTATGATCAGAATAGGTATGCATTTGAGCAGTTAATAGTTGACAAAACTGTACAAACCACGAAACACTTAATAATTAAATTTAAATTATTATTTATTAACTTCAATTTTTGAGTGACTTCAGTGGGTAACATTGTAACAATTAAACAATAAATGTCTATTTTATTTGTTTATTCGTAACGTCTACAATATTATAATACTTATACGTTAGGTAATACTAATTACCGTTTAAATCACAAAATGTTCATACAGACCTATTTATTATTATTATAATAACACGAGCAATAATATTGCTTATTATAGTCATAAACATTGGATAATCTATACTATTTTTTTTTTGTAGTTTGGCGGTTAATAATACGAGTACAAGACATTTAATACATAATGAATATTATGATAACAGATGATATTTAAAGCTCTTGTCTCTGTTATAACATCATACTGACAGAAATGCTGATTGCTGATTAAATTGCACTGTATTGTATGCATGCAGATCTACCAGTAAATTCTGCTTACCAAACATTTTATTTTTTTTACTGCACAAATTATTTGGTAAACTACGATAGATAGTTTTTTTTATAATATTCTCTACTGTCCGGTCACACTCATGATTTTTCTGTGTTCTGATATTATTTCCCCAATATTTGTCATGATCGCCGACAGCCAGTTATAGCGTTATTGACCTGCCAATATCAATTTAGAATCGTTATTAAATTAAAAAAAAAAAACTTGTCTGGATCTATTAATATTTGTTATAAAAAAATTGAATATTTGATTATATTATTGTCAAATTTTAGCGCTTGCGAGTGTACCCTGTTGCATGCTTTCTGTAGATTAAACGGTACAATTAATTCATATAAAAAAAAATATTTTTAAAAACTTATTTTTCAAATTTTAATATTTTAATATTTGTAAATTTTATTTTATAACGAGTTGACCAATCTGAATCTGCGAGCGTATTCATTTTTTTCATTACCTAATAAATTGAATCGGTCATTTGAGAAAAGTCAAAGAAAATAAAATTAAAATAAAAGTAACAAAACTTAAATTTTACAAGACAATGAGAGATCTTCCTATGCCAGTACAAGGAGGGAGAAAACGTTTGGAAAACGACTGGCTTCGAGGTAAATTTATCTCATTTTCGCCGAAATGTGATTTCTATTTCTTACACACTCTTTGTAGAAATACTGTCACTAACATTTCAATTGTACCTAATGTAATTTAAATGTGTTGTTGTTGCAAGATTTCAAGAGTGCTACAAAAATTTACCTGTTTTAGCTGGAACTCCGGTTATTATCGTTGTAAGTACTTCAGGTCGCGGTCGTAGGTAGGAATAATTTAACTGTTAACAAGTCAGGTCAATAAATATGCCACCAGAGACCTAAATCCTAATCAATACATTACCATTTTCCAGTCTATTGTATACATTGTACTGTACACGTTTTAGTTCATAATTGTTTTAGCGTCATAGAAGTTTTTATTATAAAACTTATGAGCGAGAGTAATCATACTATAGTCAATAGTTAAACATTACCTAATATGAAACAAAAGATAATATACGTACAACAATTACACCCAAATTCTCAGATCTCCATTTTGTATGAGTAGGTTTAAAAAAAACATTTAAACAGCCGCTAGTGATATTTAACAGTAATGATGTCTAAAAAAAACACAAATAAAGAAAAATACAGCTAGACTTGCTAATATTACAGTAGACCTATATTCCTACAAGAAGAATGATTTATGATCTATATAAATGTACGCAATATTGATAAACTCGATGTTGTTATTTCTGAATTTTTTGTTTGTGTACATAGTACAGTGCATTGTGATAAATTATTACATTTCAAGGATAAAAAAATTTGGTGCTTTTGATTAATAATTAGGTAAAATACCTAATTTACAAGAAGCTTTGAAACCCGAGTTGGCAATTTGATCATCTGCTTGCCTTTAAAACCGGATTTGGGTTTTATCTGTTATCCTCATGAAAGGCGCGACAGTTTACCTCCATGCTGCGGTGTACCTCCACCTGTGGCAATCACTCGTTATCACTTATCAGTTATCACACACACACTATCACAAATGTGTCTAGATAATATTTGTGATGTGACTATGAGATGTCCTGTAGTTTGCGTTAATAAACCTACATTAAATATAAATTTTGTTTTTTGTTAATAATTGGGATTTCGATTTTACTCTCTCCTTTCTGTGAATTATAACTATGAGTTAAATTGGATTTAGCGACGTAGCAACAGTTTGTTTACATTATTGTTGCTACGCGTCCGATTCGTAAAAATCTCTTGATTTTTATCATAATAACTTGGTCGAGTTCTGTGATAAATACCTACCTAACGTATTGCATCGTGTTTCGTTATTTAGTTACAATTGAGTTTTGTCTTGCCTGTAATTCGTTTATTATACATTTTAAGTAGCAGCTCTGGACAGTGGTTTACGGTTCTATGTTGTGTGAGTACCTACCATTTTGTATTTCTAATTTATTTACATTATTGCAGTGTTTCCTGTCTTTCATTGACTTAGAATACTGCTTGTTATTAAATAGAATTATGGTCTATAGGTGTTTGTTTATTACTTATTATTTACTCGGAGTTGAATTGAGTGATACGAGATTAACGCCACTTTAAATGAATCTATTCGGTCAAATGGGTTATCGTATAGCTTTAATCTTTATCGTCATAGCTTTTTACCTACAAGTCATTTGTTTAGCTGGTTTTTTTGTACAATCAGCACATTTCTTATTTACTTAGTTAACAATAGATTTTACAATAAAATAATAATACCTAATAATAATACAATATAGTAAGTAGATTTATCGTTTAAAACCTTTATTGATTATTGTTTGACAATGTTTTGTTATAGTCTCAATGGTACGAGTAATCAAATACTACCGCAGAATAATCTTACAATTAGTACAGTACATGAACGCGTGCACACCGGAGAGAAGCCTTACAAATGTGATATGTGCTCGATGGCATTTTCCTGTATCTCAAATGTCGCATCACACAAACGCATGCACACTGGGGAAAAGCCATACAAGTGTGATGTATGCCTAACGTCATTTTCTCATTCACACAATCTCACGAGACACAAACGCCGCGTGCACAATGGAGAAAAGCTCTATAAATGTGACAATACGAGTTAAAGCACTAAAAAACAAATAACTGTACATATAATGAAACCCCACAAAAGTTCAATTAACAAACATTGTCCTCGAAAAACTAAAACTATTCTTCACACTAAGTATACCGAGGGTTTCACCAAAAAAAGACATCAGACAACCATATAAATGTGCTGTGTGCTTAAAGTCATTTATTACAAAATCTAACCTCATACGACATGAACGCGTACGCACAGGCAAAAAGCTCTACAAATGTGTTTTGTTTGTTTAAAATGTTTTTCTCAAAAAACAAGCCTCCTAAAATACCAACACGTGCACACTGGTAAAAAAAACCCATCTGTCCACCTTCAATCTGACCTAATAATTGTGTGAACTACAATATAACTTTTTTCAACTGTTAATTGTTGGTTAATTAAACTGTTTTAATTGTTATTTAACTTTAATTTTCAGTTTGTAAAATAAATAAGACAAAGTAGGATAACTGTAACTATAGATAGTATTGCAACTGTTAATGTTTTAATCAGTATTGTTTAACTGGAACTAAATTGTGAGTTATGTGTAGTATTAAATTGCAAAAATTATTTTATGATTTTTTGACATTTATTATTTATATTATAAATTAATTTTTTATTAAACAAAAAATTGTTACTAAAACTTAAAAATAGTCACAAGACGTGTACGAGGCTCTAGTTATGTGCTTTTGCTTTAGGGCTATTGAGAAAACTTTGGCGACATCGTTTATGATTTTGGAGGTGATGTCGTCTACCAAATGTTTTTCCACATATATCGCATCTAAATGGTTTCTCTCCGGTATGTATCCTTTCATGAGTTTTGAGATTATTTTGTAGTCTGAATGTTTTTTCACAGATATCGCATTTATAGGGTTTTTCGCCAGTATGTATCCTTTCATGAGTTTTGAGATTATTTTGTAGTCTGAATGTTTTTTCACAGACATCGCATTTAAATGGTTTCTCGCCGGTATGTATCCTTTCGTGTATTCTTAGGTTAGATTGGTTATAAAAAGACTTTCCACAGACATTGCACTCAAAGGGTTTTTCCCCGGTATGTATCCTTTTATGAATTTTGAGGTAAGACTGATCACCAAATTTTTTTTCACAGACATTGCAACTAAAAGGTTTCTCTCCGGTATGTATCCTTTTATGAGTTTTGAGGTAAGACTGATCACCAAATTTTTTTTCACAAACATTGCAACTAAAAGGTTTCTCTCCGGTATGTATGCGTGAATGTTTCTTAAGATCAGATTGTTGACTGAATGTTTTTTCACAGATATCGCATTTAAAGGGTTTCTCTGCAGTATGTATGCGTTCATGATTTTTGAGGTGATGTTGTCTACCAAATGTTTTTTCACAGATATCGCATTTAAAAAGTTTCTCGCCGGTATGTATTCTTTCATGAGTTTTTAGGGAAGCCTGGTGACCAAATGTTTTTTTACAGACATTGCATTCAAAGGGTTTTTCTCCGGTATGTATTCTTTTATGTATTCTTAGGTTAGATTGGTTATAAAAAGACTTTCCACAGACATTGCACTCAAAGGGTTTTTCCCCGGTATGTATCCTTTTATGAGATTTATGGGTAGACCGATCAGCAAATGCTTTTTCACAGACATCACATTTGAAAGGTTTCTCGCCAGTATGTATCCTTTTATGGTTGTTTAGGTGAGCCCTTTGACGGAATGTTTTTGCACACACATTGCAATTAAATGGTTTCTCTCCAGTATGCATCCTTTCATGAATTTTGAGGGTAGACTGTTCACCAAATGTTTTTTCACAGAAATTGCACCTAAATGGTTTCTCTCCGGTATGAATCCTTTTATGGTTGTTGAGGAAAACTCTTTGACTGAATGTTTTCGCACACACATTGCACTTAAACGGTTTCTCGCCGGTATGTATACGTGCATGTGTCTCGAGATTAGTTTTTTGACTAAATGTTTTTGCACAGACATCGCATTTGAAGGGCTTTTCGTCCGTATGAATACGCCAATGTGTTCTCAGGCTTGATTTTGATGAAAATGTTTTTAGACAAATACCACAATTAAGTAGGTCTACTTTGTTTCGAGTATACCCCTTGATTCTGATGTTTCGATGGTTGACTTCATTTTTTTGAGGCACTTTCTTTTCCATTGAAGTAGTGGAATGGGACTTCGCAATATGCCGGATTATATGACTTTTGGTTGAATACCTCCTATGACATATATTGCAGTCGAACCGACGTATTTTGTGTATATTTTCCTCAGAATTGGTTTTTATTGTATTATTTGTGGTATCTGTCGCTTTACACGGAAAATGAATACTGCAACACATATGAAACAAAATGTATTTATCTAAGATCAAAATATATACTAATGTTATGCAGCAAATATAAAGCAGTAAAGAATTCTACTCTGTTTTAAGTTCACTTTTACATTTTAAAAAGTACCTTGAGACATTTTAATGACCGAGTTCTTTTAACCCTAATTATAATTTCAAAAACATGATTGGTGTCGTGTTAGCATCATGCTAACATTGTTGTTTTTTTTATTTTTGAACTATTTAATGAACTTAGAGTAGTACAACTGAGGGAAAAGTGTTTATCTAGTTATATCCAATAAAAGTTAGATATTAGCTAATGACCTAGGTGTCGAAGAATGATAATTTTATAAATAAAAGAAAAAGGTTAGACTTTATTAAAATTTTCTATTTAACTAAAAATAAATTTTTGTTTGTAAAAAAAAGGAATTTTATAAAAATTAAACAAACATCAGTATTTATTATATATTTTTTTTTTATAACTGTTAAAATAAAGTTTTTATCATAAAAAATGACCCTTGTTCCCATTTGTTGTCTATTTTATATAAGAATGAAAAATAATGTATAAATGTTTTCTATATATTTACATAATATATAACATGGTAAGTCTCGTGCAAACGTACGCTAACATATTGCGGTATTGCAGACTTTGACCGGTAATCATACATACAAATAGATGTTAATAATTTTGTTTTTTTTTTTTTTTTGATTTTACATTATATTGATAAGAGGTAGATGTAGTTTAAAAACAATCTATTGTTATATGAACAAGCGGCTCCTAATTTAAGTTTAATGTTAGCGAAACACTAACATCGATACCAACGACGGGTTTATTGAGGAGGATGACATAGTTATAAACCTTAATTGTTTTTTTAGTTTAAAAAAATGGTAATAAAATGGCCTTACTCATTAGTATTGTCGCCTTCATTCTTTACCAAATACTCCTCTGCTGTAAGAACTTCATTGTTTATGAACTGCACATCTAACGGTTGAGGTTCAATGACTTCTGTTTCAACGTTTTCATGTTTAATTTTCAACCGCTTCAAAACTCTATAATTGAAATTTAACATTAGTTGTATTTCTGTGTCAAATATGCATGCGTGGTTTAATAAGACTACTTAATTACACAATTTTAACTATTTTTTTTTAGTAGCAAATATAGTAATAATAATGATGTAATAAAGCAGACAGCTAATGTCCTAAGTTGCCGAAGCTTAAATACAATAAAAAAAAATAAGAATAATTTAGTTTACATTGTTTGACGAATAAAAACCAACCAAATTTTCAGTGGTATACTTTAGTTTTTTTTTAAACATTTAAAACTAAACTTTATATAATTTCATATCACTCGACTCAACTCGATCCGGTGTACAAAGCATGGTACCTAACTTTTAGGATACATGAGGTTTTATATTTCAATAACTATATAGGTAATTGGTTTTTTTTTTTAATATTAATAAATAAATTAGATGCACATGATCAGTTTCCAACAACTGAATTAAATATATTTTGATTTTAAACTGTGCTTCATTCACCAATTCGACAGTTTCTTGTTGGATATATTATTATGCTTGTCAATTCAGTTATTAACAAAACCCAAAATATTATTCTACTGTATATTCAGGCTTTTATCTATACATATATCTGTTGTGTATAGAATATATATCAGCTAAAAGGAGAGTAATATCTTTTTTTTTTTAATACACTTTAAATTTTAAATTTCTTTATTACTCACTATTATACCATAAACAGTTTTATTTTTTTGGAGATAAAGTATTCATATATTATATAACTTTTAAAATAGTATCTATTTTACTGAAAAACTTGTCTGCTCGCTAACAAGTTATAAATAAACTCTAATGTTTAATATAATATAAGCCTTTATGATTTATAACAGATTAAAAACAAGCAAAGTATAGAAGAAGGTAAAGATAAGTGGATTGAGTTACTCAAGATAAGGTCATACTTTGCCTTACTTCTTATACCGTCGAAAATAATTGTTTAAACAATATTATTATTACTAGGTATTTAGAAAATAAATTAGGGCATCACTTATTAATATTTTTTTTAATTACAGAGGACGACAACATTACAAAAATTATATGTTTTATATAGTAAAAAAAAGGTAATAAAATTGTCTTACTTATAAGTATTGTCGTCTTCATTCTTTACCAAATACTCCTCTGTTGTAGAAATTTCATTGGTTTTAAACTGCACATCTAACGGTTTAGTTTCAATGACTTCAAACGATCCTTCATGGGAGTGTTCTTCTGTGTCATCATTTTCTTGTTTAATTTTCAACATATTATACAGTTTCCAAACTGTAAAATGAACGTTTGACATTAGTTGTATTTCTGTGCCATACATGCATAGAGGATTAATAGTATGACTTATTTACATAATTGTAACTATTTTATTTAGTTATAATAACGATATGATAAAGAAAAATTTAGTTTACATGATTTTGAAAAATAAAAATACAACAAAGTTTTCAGTGGTATATTTTGTATTTTATAAACATTTAAAACTAAATTTTAATTCATTAAAATTAGACGAATGGCGCAAAGTTACACAAGTATGACTTGTAGGTAAGAAGTTATGACAATAATGATTAAAGCTAGACGATAGCCCATTTGACCGAATAGATAATTTGAAGTGGCGTTGATCCCATGTCATTCAACAAGATTCCAAGTAAATAATAAGTAATAAACAAACACATATAAATTATGATTATATTTATTAACAAGCAGTATCCTAAATCAATGGAAACACGGCAATAATTTAAATTAAATAGAAATACAAAATGGTAGGTACTCACACAACGTAGAACCGTAAGCAGCTGTCAAGTAGCGACAATGCTGAAAACAAATTGTTACTATGGCGCTAAATCAAATTTAACTAGTAATAAAGTGAATAATTCACAGAAATTCAGTGAACAAATAGCAATCTCAGTTATTCACAAAAAGTCGAAACAAAACTTGAACTCAATAATAATTGTGATTTTATTGCATACTGCACAACAAAAGAAATTTTTCTAGACAGGTTTGTGATAGTGTATGTGTGATAACGAGTGATTGCAACAGGTTGGGGTATACTGCAGAGGGAAACACGACAAAAGGTCGCCCGACAAAACGCCGCCGGACAAAAAATCGACGGACAAATATCGACAAATCGCCGCCGTTAAAAAAACCGCCTCTCAGTAATGCCAACACTAACAATACTTGTATACAATATACGATTATTAATGGTGTTAGTTGTGCTGCTAGCATGACATATTAAGGAGTAATTATTTCACATTTTATTCGTTTTTATTCATTAATGAGCGAACGACTCAAACGAGGCTGTTTTTAAAAAATATTTCCAGATGGCATTTTGAAAGTCGGATGAGAAGTCCGAATGTATATTTTTCACCACAAAAAAAACGATATTTTATTATCTCTAGAAAACTGTTTACCTATTATTGAACTGTTATCTTTGTTTATTTTATAAATGCATGTAGGTATTACCTATATATTTTTAGTACTTATTGCAAAGTGTATAGGTGTAAAATGATGTTATTGTTTTAAAGGAAGGCAAAACAATTATACACAATAATTATTCGTATACCAAACAACACATACTAGTACATTCCATTCGATGAAATGTTCACAAAAAAGTTTAAAAAAATAACATCCATCTTGAAACCTTTAAGTTCAAAAAAACTTATACATAAACATGTATAAATAAAGTTAAATATTTACTTTTATTAATAACAGTTAACTGGTTAATTGACTTCAAAATATAGATGATAAAACACAGGGCAAAACCGCACAATTTTTAACATTGCTGTATTCAAAAACCGCACATTTTATAATGACGTATAAACTATTATATATAAATATATTCAAAATACATTTTTTTGGTACAATTTATATGTTGAAAATATTAAGATATAAAATTTAATAAAAAATAAATTAAATTTTATTTGCTGAAATCATTTTTAACGTTTTTTAGAAATTTCAAACGATCCCCGTCCTTAAAAAATTCTTCCCAACATTTAAACAAGTGTTCCTAAAAATGAACCCAATTTCATTCAAAATGATGTATTAAAAATATTAAAATGCGCCTATTAACTAACTTGTTTTTCAATTGGACGGACAATATTTTGAATACTCCTATTAAGCTTACGTCATTACTTCCAATTATCGTATTATTTTCTATAGATGACATCTCTCAGCGTATTATTTTTTGCGGTGTCTCTTGAATGTCATTAGAAGCCTTGCGTTAACAATTCATTTATTACGTACCTCTTATTACCCAATATAAGTGTGCGGTATTCACCTGGCACCGGTACTTACCTGGAAACCGATAAAATGTGCGGTTTTTGGTCGTAACCGGTTCATTCGACCCCTGTTATATTGTATCTATTTTATCTTTTTATTCAGATTTACCATGTTATATTTCTCATTGTTAATTAGATATGTGTCCGTATTGTTTACAAAAATAAAAAAAGACTATAATGGCAGGTAGGGAAAACAACAGTCGAGTTGCCGCGCCGGTTGAATTAACTACCTGCCAAATATACCTTCTTAGGGACGAAAGTATACGCATCCCTGTTTTACTTCGTATATTTGTTATTCGTTATTAGTATTAAGTAAAATTATATTATTATTTATTAAAAAATGGTCTTAACAATGGCGGTTCTAAAAAAAAATATGAAATAACATTTAACCATTATTTGTATCCAATGCATTTATTTTTATAAATATATCCATTTAAAAGTATTCTTATTTTTTCGTATATATAATAGTAGTTTTAAAATTTTAACATAAAAACATTAAGAAAATTAAAAAGTATGGAAAAAAAAATTACTAATTAGTTTATGTGCGTGTACATTTTGTTTTTGTAAAGCCAGTCGGCCGAATGGACTTGGGAACAATGACCTCGCTACACCCCTAGCCAGAAATAAAGTAAAATAAATAAGACGAAGTAGGATAACTGTAACTATAGATAGTATTGCAACTGTTAATGTTTTAATCAGTATTGTTTAACTGGAACTAAATTGTGAGTTATGTGTAATATTAAATTGCAATTTTATTTTAAGAATTTTTGGACATTTATTATTTATATTATAAATTAATTTTTTATTAAACAAAAAATTGTTACTAAAACTTAAAAATAGTCACAAGACGTGCACGAGGCTCTAGTGATGTGCTTTTGCTTTAGGGCTATTGAGAAAACTTTGGCGACATCGTTTATGATTTTGGAGGTGATGTCGTCTACCAAATGTTTTTCCACATATATCGCATCTAAATGGTTTCTCTCCGGTATGTATACGTGAATGTTTCTTAAGATAAGATTGTTGACTGAATGTTTTTTCACAGATATCGCATTTATAGGGTTTTTCGCCAGTATGTATCCTTTCATGAGTTTTGAGATTATTTTGTTGTCTGAATGTTTTTTCACAGACATCGCATTTAAATGGTTTCTCGCCGGTATGCATCTTTTCGTGTATTCTTAGGTTAGATTGGTTATAAAAAGACTTTCCACAGACATTGCACTCAAAGGGTTTTTCCCCGGTATGTATCCTTTCATGAATTTTGAGGGAAGACTGATCACCAAATTTTTTTTCACAGACATTGCAACTAAAAGGTTTCTCTCCGGTATGTATACGTGCATGTTTCTTGAGATTAGTTTTTTGACCAAATGTTTTTTCACAGATATCGCATTTAAAAAGTTTCTCTCCGGTATGTATGCGTTCATGAGTTTTAAGATGAATTTGTTGACCAAATGCTTTTGCACAGACAACGCATTTAAAGGGCTTCTCTGCAGTATGTATGCGTTCATGTATTTTGAAGTGATCTCGTCTACCAAATGTTTTTTCACAGATATCGCATTTAAAAAGTTTCTCGCCGGTATGTATCCTTTCATGAGTTTTGAGATTATTTTGTAGTCTGAATGTTTTTTCACAGACATCGCATTTAAATGGTTTCTCGCCGGTATGTATCCTTTCGTGTATTCTTAGGTTAGATTGGTTATAAAAAGACTTTCCACAGACAGTGCACTCAAAGGGTTTTTCCCCGGTATGTATCCTTTTATGAATTTTGAGGGCAGACTGATCACCAAATTTTTTTTCACAAACATTGCAACTAAAAGGTTTCTCTCCGGTATGTATGCGTGAATGTTTCTTAAGATCAGATTGTTGACTGAATGTTTTTTCACAGATATCGCATTTAAAGGGTTTCTCTGCAGTATGTATGCGTTCATGATTTTTGAGGTGATGTTGTCTACCAAATGTTTTTTCACAGATATCGCATTTAAAAAGTTTCTCGCCGGTATGTATCTTTTCATGAGTTTTTAGGGAAGCCTGGTGACCAAATGTTTTTTTACAGACATTGCATTCAAAGGGTTTTTCTCCGGTATGTATCCTTTTATGAGTTTTGAGGGAAGACTGATCACCAAATTTTTTTTCACAGACTTCGCATTTTAAAAGTTTTACTCTAGTATGTATCCTTTTATGAGATTTATGGGTAGACCGATCAGCAAATGCTTTTTCACAGACAACACATTTGAAAGGTTTCTCTCCGGTATGTATCCTTTTATGGTTGTTGAGGTTAGCCTTTTGACGGAATGTTTTTGCACACACATTGCAATTAAAAGGTTTCTCTCCAGTATGCATCCTTTCATGAATTTTAAAATGAATTTGTTGACCAAATGTTTTTTCACAGAAATTGCACCTAAATGGTTTTTCGCCAGTATGTATCCTTTCATGAGTTTTGAGATTATTTTGTAGTCTGAATGTTTTTTCACAGACATCACATTTGAAAGGTTTCTCTCCGGTATGTATCCTTTCATGTATTCTTAGGTTAGATTGGTTATAAAAAGACTTTCCACAGACATTGCACTCAAAGGGTTTTTCCCCGGTATGTATCCTTTTATGAATTTTGAGGGAAGACTGATCACCAAATTTTTTTTCACAGACATTGCAACTAAAAGGTTTCTCTCCAGTATGTATCCTTTTATGGTACTTGAGGTGAGCCCTTTGACGGAATGTTTTTGCACAGACATCACATTTGAAGGGCTTTTCGTCCGTATGAATACGCCAATGTGTTCTCAGGCTTGATTTTGATGAAAATGTTTTTAGACAAATACCACAATTAAGTAGGTCTACTTTGTTTCGAGTATACCCTTTGATTTTGCTGTTTCGATGGTTGACTTCATTTTTTTGAGGCACTTTCTTTTCCACGGAAGTAGTGGAATGGGACTTCGCAATATGCCGGATTATATGACTTTTGGTTGAATACCTCCTATGACATATATTGCAGTCGAACCGACGTATTTTGTGTATATTTTCCTCAGAATTGGTTTTTATTATATTATTTGTGGTATCTGTCGCTTTACACGGAAAATGAATACTGCAACACGTATGAAACAAAATGTATTTATACAAGATAAATATATATTAATGTTATACAGCAAATATTCATAATACTAATGTTAAATGGACAATACATCAAACAAGCATCATTTTTAAAACTAATTTTATTAATTATAGATGAACTACACAAATCTACAATTAACTCAATTTTTATTAGATTGTGTTGCTTAAACTTATCCAACAATATATAATGTAACCTTTATATTTTTTAGAATACTGATAATAAACGTCCGAATCCCACAAGATTTGATACTTGAAAATTCTACTCTGTTTTAAGTCCACTTTTACATTTTAAAAAGTACCTTGAGACATTTTAATGACAGAGTTCTTTTAACCCTAAACTTTTTTTTTTAATAGTTTTTTATAATAGCATGTATCTTTAAAGATACACCACCTCATTGAATAATTTAATAGATGATAAAGATACACCTTGTATGTATGAAGTGCAACTGAAGTATAAGTGTTTATCTAGTTACATAAAAGCTTTATCCCATCGTAGAAATCGTTATAATTTTAAACATGATTGGTATCGTGTTAGCATCATGCTAACATTGTTGTTTTTTTTATTTTTGAACTATTTAATGAACTTAGAGTAGTACAACTGAGGGAAAAGTGTTTATCTAGTTATATCCAATAAAAGTTAGTTATTAGCTAATGACCTAGGTGTCGAAGAATGATAATTTTATAAATAAAAGAAAAAGGTTAGACTTTATTAAAATTTTCTATTTAACTAAAAATAAATTTTTGTTTGTAAAAAAAAGGTATTTTATAAAAATTAAACAAACATCAGTATTTATTATATATATTTTTTTTATAACTGTTAAAATAAAGTTTTCATCATAAAAAATGACCCTTGTTCGCATTTTTTGTCTATTTTATATAAGAATGAAAAATAATGTATAAATGTTTTCTATATATTTACATAATATATAACATGGTAAGTCTCGTGCAAACGTACGCTAACATAATGCGGTACTGCAGACTTTGACCGGTAATCATACATACAAATAGATGTTAATAATTTTTGTTTTTTTTTGTTTTTTGATTTTACATTATATTGATAAGAGGTAGATGTAGTTTAAAAACAATCTATTGTTATATGAACAAGCGGCTCCTAATTTAAGTTTAATGTTAGCGAAACACTAACATCGATACCAACGACGGGTTTATTGAGGAGGATGACGTAGTTACAAAACCTTAATTGTTTAATTTGGTTTAAAAAAATGGTAATAAAATGGCCTTACTCATTAGTATTGTCGCCTTCATTCTTTACCAAATACTCCTCTGCTGTAAAAACTTCATTGCTTATGAACTGCACATCTAACGGTTGAGGTTCAATGACTTCTGTTTCAACGTTTTCATGTTTAATTTTCAACCGCTTCAAAACTCTATAATTGAAATTTAACATTAGTTGTATTTCTGTGTCAAATATGCATGCGTGGTTTAATAAGACGACTTAATTACACAATTTTAACTATTTTTTTTTAGTAACAAATATAATAATAATAATGATATAATAAAGCAGACAGCTAATGTCCTAAGTTGCCGAAGCTTGAATACAATAAAAATAAATAAAGAATAATTTAGTTTACATTGTTTGACGAATAAAAACTGACCAAATTTTCAGTGGTATACTTTAGTTTTTTTTTAAACATTTAAAACTAAATTTTAATTTACTCAATTTATAATCTAATTGTTAGATGAATAACACAAAACTACTAGTATGACTTGTAGGTAAGAAGTTAAGACGATATACCATTTTACCGACTAGATTAATTTTAAGTGGCGTTGATCCCATATCACTCGACTCAACTCGATCCGGTGTACAAAGCATGGTACCTAACTTTTAGGATACATGAGGTTTTATATTTCAATAACTATATAAGTAATTGGTTTTTTTTTTTAACATTAATAAATAAATTAGTCATGATCAGTTTCCAACAACTGAATTAAATATATTTTGATTTTAAACTGTGCTTCATTCACCAATTCGACAGTTTCTTGTTGGATATATTATTGTGCTTGTCAACTCAGTTATTAACAAAACCCAAAATATTATTCTACTGTATATTCAGGCTTTTATCTATACATATATCTGTTGTGTATAGAAGATATATCAGCTAAAAGGAGAGTAATATCTTTTTTTTTTTAATACACTTTAAATTTTAAATTTCTTTATTACTCACTATTATACCATAAACAGTTTCATTTTTTTGGAGATAAAGTATTCATATATTATATAACTTTTAAAATAGTATCTATTTTACTGAAAAACTTGTCTGCTCGCTAACAAGTTATAAATAAACTCTAATGTTTAATATAATATAAGCCTTTATGATTTATAACAGATTAAAAACAAGCAAAGTATAGAAGAAGGTAAAGATAAGTGGATTGAGTTACTCAAGATAAGGTCATACTTCGCTTTCCTTCTTATACCGTCGAAAATAATTGTTTTAACAATATTATTATTACTAGGTATTTAGAAAATAAATTAGGACATCACTTATTAATTCTTTTTTTAATTACAGAGGACGACAACATTTCAAAAGTTAAATGTTTTATTTAGTAAAAAAAAGGTAATAAAATTGTCTTACTTATAAGTATTGTCGTCTTCATTCTTTACCAAATACTCCTCTGTTATAGAAATTTCATTGGTTTTAAACTGCACATCTAACGGTTTAGTTTCAATGACTTCAAACGATCCTTCATGGGAGTGTTCTTCTGTGTCATCATTTTCTTGTTTAATTTTCAACATATTATACAGTTTCCAAACTGTAAAATTAACGTTTGACATTAGTTGTATTTCTGTGCCATACATGCATAGAGGATTAATAGTATGACTTATTTACATAATTTTAACTATTTTATTTAGTTATAATAATGATATGATAAAGAAAAATTTAGTTTACATGATTTTGAAAAATAAAAATCCAACAAAGTTTTCAGTGGTATATTTTGTATTTTATAAACATTTAAAACTAAATTTTAATTCATTAAAATTAGACGAATGGCGCAAAGTTACACAAGTATGACTTGTAGGTAAGAAGTTATGACAATAAAGATTAAAGCTAGACGATAGCCCATTTGACCGAATAGATTAATTTGAAGTGGCGTTGATCCCATGTCATTCAACCAGATTCCAAGTAAATAATAAGTAATAAACAAACACATATAAATTATGATTATATTTATTAACAAGCAGTATCCTAAATCAATGGAAACACGGCAATAATGTAAATTAAATAGAAATACAAAGTGGAAAGTACTCACACAACGTAGAACCGTAAACTGCTGTCCAGGGCTGCTACTAAAAACTTATAATAAATGATCAACAGGCAAGGCAAAATTCAATTGTAACGCAAATCGAAACCAAATAACGAAACACGACCCAATACGTTAGGTTAGGTCACAGCAGTCGACAAAGATATTATGATTAAAATCTAAAGATTCTCACGAATCGGACCGTAGCAACAATGCTGAAAACAAATTGTTACTATGGCGCTAAATCTAATTTAACTAGTTTAACGATTCACGGAAATTCAGTGAACAAATAGCAATCTCAGTTATTCTCAAAAAGTCGAAACAAAACTGGAATTTAATATTAATTGTGATTTTAATGCAAACTGCACAACAAAAGAAATTTTTCTAGACAGATTTGTGATAGTGTATGTGTGATAACGAGTGATTGCAACAGGTTGTGGTACACTGCAGAGTGGCGGTAAACTGTTGCGCGTTTTTAGGAGGCAAATTCAAATTCTCAACTTGCTTGTTGTAAACTTACCTTCATCGACATCCTATAAAATGTATTAATGCGTTTACCTAAGTCTGTCGGTTTTGGAAACACCTTTCGCTGATGTTGTTAGAATACATAGGCCCACAATTGTAAAATACAATCATAAAAAAATAAATAGGTGTTAAAGAAAGCCAGTACAGTTGGCTTAGGACATATAGGGGACGGTAAGATCACAGGTCTACTAGAATTATTAAATACAAATATCGATAAAAGCATTGCACCTATTGACAATTATGCTCTTTATCTGGAAATTGACCACGGTCAAAACTAAGATTTCTTCTATTTTTGGAGTTTGCCCTTAACAGAAAAAAGTTTCACTGTAGATTTTTGAGAAAATTGTACATGTTATAGTTTCGTTCTAGATCTTCCTCCGGTCTAATTTTCAAACTTAAATCCCTAAAACTTTGCTTGAAAAAGAGAAAAAAAGAAGAAATGTCTATCTCTTTTAGTGGAAAGGGTTTATGATGTGTTTTGGTTTTGTCAATGTTTATCGGTAGGTAGTAGGTACTATGTTTAAAGAATGTTCCAACTTTGTGAATAAATATTAAGATGTTCTAGCTACACAACTATTAAAGTTTCATGTATTCATATTTTTATTTTGTGGCCTCACTATACATATAGTTTTGTACAACTTTGAACATTCCTTCTACCCCAAATTGCACATCATTTTAACTTTTGCTATTAGAATTTTGCTGGATTATATTTTTTACACTTGCAATAATTGATAGATTAAGGGCACCTAAAAATGGGCCTGCATCAGGTCATGAATAATTTTACTATTTTATTTTTTAATTCATTTAAACCATTTTGAAAACAATATATGGTTTTTTTATTTGTGTTATTACTTTTCCAAAAAATTGTATATATAGTTTCATACACGAAAACACAGTTTAAGTGTTATTCATTGAAATAAGAAGAAAACATATTATTTTGATGTGATGTTTTGTAGGCTTGTTTAAACAGTTACCTGATAGTCATACACCATTTGCACTAAATGGAATATACCAATAATATTTTTTTTTATTCTATCTAGAACGATTTTTTCTAAACGTTTGCAGAACTCTTCAACCAGAGGCCCGAATTTAGGTTTCCAATTGAAGTATTAGGTGTAAATACACAATTATTTATCATTGTTTTTGGCGTTTTATTTTTCTCGGGTTCGTATCGAAGTGAATAACATATGAGTAATAGCCCACACATAAAAACTTTTCTAAATCAATACACAACCACAATAACAGTTATACAACGAGATCCTAACCGGGTCACCACATTTAAAGCAGTCAGCTATCGACTAGATATGCTTCGACCTCTTCTAAACTAAAAAATACCAATAAAAAACAAGCTTCTTTAGTCTTTACACTACCCTTTTGGACCCAATATGAACTTATGGTATTATTATCTGGTGATCGGCAAAACCTTTAAACGCCAAAACAATTAATATGACTCTGAATAATCACAAAGGGTCTTTTGGTATGATCAAATTGTTTCACTCCATTCCGGCTTCTAAGACGACTTAAAAGAAACTGGCCCAAAACTGGCTCAAGAACTACCAAAATTAAGGTTTTTTTTAAATCTTATTTGGTAAGTTTTTGAAATGGAGATGTTAGAGTATATTAAGTGGTTGATTAAAGAAGTATTATTTAAGTATTCTTAAATAGTAACATGATAGGCCTAAAGGGTTTGATGAAGATCGAAACAAACTTATAAAATATAACAGGCGTGGCCAGTATTTAATCCAGAAAAGCTATTTACAGCAGTCTTTTGGAGAAGTTCATTAAATATAAAAAAATGTAACATTATGAAAAAACATTTAGATGTGAACGAATGCTTAGATAGAGTCAAATCACTCTAAATACATTGTCAATAAAAATGTTATTTTATAAATTGCATTTTTAAGTATTAGGTACATAGAGGTTACATAAATATAAAATACATTCAGCTACTTAAATTTTTTTTTTTGCCCATTTCAACCCTTTAAAAAAAATAATTCAGAAATCAGAATCCTTTCTTATTGCACGCTAAGACTATAATACAAACATACCCTGAACATTTCAAGTCGATAGGTATCATAGTTTAGGCTGTGCGTTGATTATGAATCAGGTAGGACTTTTAGTTTAATATATTTATATATAATATATATATATATTATAGATAACTCAGACATAGCCATTATAATATTATTCATAACAATTAAGAAAAAACTTGACAATATTAACAAAAAAAGTATTCAAAAAGTTTATAACTTTAAAACATTTTTAGCTTCTTTCTGGGTTTTTCTAAAATTTTCTGCGAGAATGACTTGATGGAAATGATTTAATATCATCGTAATTAATGATTGTTTTGGTTACAGATTACTCTATACTTAATATGGCTAAACTATTTAATCTTTCTGGTGACATAGTCGATTCTATTTATGGTTTAAGTGTCAATATTAAATCCCAAAAAAGTCAAATATTTTCTATAGTTCCATAATGTTGTAAAATAACACAAACAACATTTTTTTTTAAAAGAAAAGACTACAAAATTGCAATTTTCTTAAGAAATATTGAGTGTTCAGCATTAAATGCCTCTTCCGGCCGCTTCTCACGTTCCGCGCGCAGGCCACCGATCTCTTCCGTCCACCAGTGGACGGGTGGTTTGGCGCCCTGGAATCCTTTTCTGGTCGGGAGAGCAGCGAATTAAATACAATTAATAAAAAAAAAAATACTTAAATACAATAAAATACAAAAGACCTAATATAAAAGAAATATGATGATTATTGTTTATGAATCAAATATTAGTTGTCTTAACTAGTTTATGCTCATTACCTATACTTTATGTTCTATGAAATATCAATAAATACAATTGTTTAAAAATATATTTTTTGTAAAAACGATTGAAATAATAATAATAATAATATTTTTTATTTAGCAAAAACATACATTCATGAATACACTTATAAATAAAAACAATCGTGATACGTATTTGCAACTCCCCTTTAAGCATAAGCTTGTTTTGGGGGGTTATAAGTTTGAGTTCATTACAATTCATGAGAAAGATAAACTATATAATATTACTACAACACTAATATATATGTATTGATAAAAACAACAAATAATATAATTGTAATTTTTATATTTTTCGACATTCTCACAGCAAATCTATTTTCATGAAATTTTAAGTTTTCAGAAATGATTTATATAAGCAAATATTATTAAAATTATCAATATTAATAGCAAGTTGTCTTTTAAAGATAAGCACACAAATGTTAACATTTTCCTTGTAGCGAGTATTATAGGAGTAACTAACTCTAACTAGATTACGCTTAAACTTGTAAATACTTAAAAGGATGTTTCTAAAATATAATTTATGAATGCACAAAACATTAAGTTCTAAATAAGCAAAATTATTGTTACAGTACATAGGTTTCAATAACAGAAATGTAATTAACCTATTAATGGTGATTTTAAGAAGATAAGTATGGTAATAGTGATACCATAACTAACAATTGGTTGTACTAAGGATATAAATAGCAAGCG